GGGACGGGAAGAATCGCAAGCGCTCCCCAGCACGAGCCTGTCCAGGGGTCTCGCCTTTGCTGCCATACAAACCATCTGCCCTTGGCTCACCGACTCCCCGAGAGCCTCCCAAAGCGCTCCCCCCGCCAGCCGTGCTTGAAAAGTTTGGGAAAGACGCAAGGACGCCAACTTGCCAGAGCCAGTCCCCCCTTTAAGTACATATTCGCATACGCCGTGACACCCTCCCCGCCTTGGGACGAAGGCTAGCGACTGCCAAAATCTCCTCCTGCAAACCAGCAGACCCTACGTCCCTTCTTAGGGTGTTTCGCAGGTGCGGGGGCCAAGAGAGAACACTTTGCCTCCACGTAAAACCCTGCCAAGCACCGGGGCTGAACCTCTCAAACACAGGCGTCCGCTCGGCCCCGAAAACACGCGGCGGCTGCAGCTTCCGCGGTGCGAGCAGAGAGCAGCAGCAGGTCCCCCTTCCTTCCCCGGGAAGATGAATTAGGGAGCTGTCAGCGAGGGACAGCCGCAGCGGTTGTGTTGCTGTAAAGGGGCAGTGGAAGTGTCTTTGATTAATGAAACCGTAATACTCGGCTGTTACACAGCCCTTCTTCGGCAGAGAGATGCCCTCAGACAGGCTGAAAACACCGCGCTCTGCAAGGATTCCCCAGAAAGACTTCTCCTGGCCACAGGCTGGTCTCCTCCTGCCCTCCACCAGCGCCGCTGCCTTCACCCGGGTCTGCGCTGCTTTCTCAGGAGTTCCCAGGGCTGACAAAGAACTAATTATTTCCAATTAGAAGCCAGGAGATGAACATTATGCACCTTGTCAAGCCAGTAAATTAACGTATCTCAACTGCGCTGGGCTTTGGTGAGAGCCCAAAGTGCCCAGGGCAAGGACGTGGCAGCAAGAGGAGGGACTCGGAGGCGCTTGCAGCCCAGGGACGGCGAGCCGGGCGCGCCAAGCCCTGGCGCGGCCGAGTTTTCATCCGGTATCGGCGTCAATAACCAGCATCCAGCCAGGGAGCGTCACGGCAGGGCTCCTGCGGAGGGTCCCGCACCGGGCAGAGGGGGTACGGGCGCTACTGACGGTGACGCAAGGCTGCCGGTCAGTGCGATGGCACCGAAGCATCTGGTTGATTTTTGGTTTGCGTGGGCTGGGGTTACAGGACAGGAGCGGAGGCCTGAGCGCCGGGTGCAACCGGCACCCCAAAGCCCCAGCTGTTCCCCCTGCAAGCGCACGAGCGAGAAACATATTCCAGAACCAGAAGCGTCACGCAGAAATATGGGTGTTTCTCCCCACCCCTTCTCTCCTCTTGAAAATACTAAGCGCCCTCCCGGGATGCTCCGACGACTGCAAAGGCCAGGATCCCTGGGAACGTGGGGACAGCCGTCCCGGAGAACAACAAGCGCTTTCACCCAGGCTGTTTGTGCAAACCACCCGGTTTTCCACCCAAGTTCCCAAGGTGGCGACACAAAATGCTTATTATCAGCAATTCATAGGCACGATTTACTACTGCTAAAAACAAGGGAGGTGCAAGCAGCATGGGGAAGAACGGAGCGCAGTCGGAGCAGGGCAGCGTCCGCGCGGATGGCTGGAATGGAGAGGGGAGCCAGGGCTTGGACCGAGGCCACCGCTGTCCATCCGACAGCAAAACCCTCCTATGGAAAACATATTTTTTGGGAAGGACTACGGAAGCGGGAAGCGTCAGAAGAGCTCGC